CAGTGTTGGTCGTGGGGCCTGAGCTCTGGGCCTGGGCGCTGCCCCTCAGCTCTTCAGTGTTGGTCGTGGGGCCTGAGCTCTGGGCCTGGGCGCTGTCCCTCAGCTCTTCAGTGTTGGTCGTGGGGCCTGAGCTCTGGGCCTGGGCGCTGTCCCTCAGCTGGAGACCGCACCCTGCCAAGCATCTGAGGTGTTTTTGTTTTTGTCCGTAATGGGGCTTGAACTCTGATCCTGGGCGCTGTCCCTTAGCTGGAGACCGCACCCTGCCAAGCATCTGAGGTGTTTTTGTTTTTGTCCGTAATGGGGCTTGAACTCTGGGCCTGGGCGCTGTCCCTCAGCTCTTCAGCTCAAGGCCCAAGCCCCTGCCACTTGAGCCACAGCGCCACTTCTGGCTTTTTCTGAGGAATCGAACCCAGGGCCCCATGCATGCTAGGCAAGCGCTCTACCACTGAGCCACCTTCCCAGCCCCCAGGGCAGTTTTCAATTTCTTTTCTCTCTCTCTCTCTCTCACTCTCTCTTTTTCTCTCTTTTTCTCTCTCTCTCTTCCTTCCTTCCTACCTTCCTTCCTTCCTTCCTTTCTCTTTCTTTCTTTCTTTCTTTCTTTCTTTCTTTCTTTCTTTCTTCCTTCCTTCCTTCCTTCCTTCCTTCCTTTTCTTCCCTCCCTCCCTCCCTCCCCTCCCTCCCTTCCTTCTTTCCTTCGTTCCTTGTTGGTCGTGGGGCTTGAACTCTGGGCCTGGGCACTGTCCCTGAGCTCTTCAGCTCAAGGCCAGCATTCTACCACTTATGGTTTGCTGGAGATAAGAGTCAGAGTCTTATGGGCTTTTTTTTTTTTTTTTTTGGTCATGGGGCCTGAACTCTGGGCCTGGTGCTGTCCCTCAGCTCTTTAGCTGTAGGCTAACATTCTACCACTTGAGCCTCAGCACCACTTCCAGCTTTTTCTGCTTATATGTCACTGAGGAATCGAACCCAGGGCCCCATGCATGCTAGGCAAGCGCTCTACCACTGAGCCACCTTCCCAGCCTCTCATGGACTTTCCTGCCAGGGCTGGCTTTGAACAGTGATCCTCAGATCTCAGCCTCCTGAGTAGCTAGGATTACAGGTGTGAGCTACCAGTGCCCAGCTAGTTGTTTTTTTTTAAATATCTTTTACCTTTTCTGTATTCTGACATAAGTCATATATGTTCACACGAAGTGTCTAGTTTCCCAAGTCTGACATAAGTATACCCGCAGGAAACCATCAGGGGGATACCAAGGCACCGAGCGTACGTCTCAGCCACAAATTCTGCTTCCATTCCCACAGATGGATGTACATTTTCTTGCATTTTGTCTAAACGAGCTAAAGGGGTCCATACTCTTTTCTGTGAGTTCTTTTGCTTAGCATAATTTTGAGATTCATGCTTCTCTGTCTGAAGTCCATTCCTCTGTGCTGCGAAGTGTCTCTGAGGCTGCACCCAGGTGATGGCTCTGCTCCTGGTCACCGTTGCGCAGGCTCACAGCTGCTATGCTGGGTGTTGAGTCTGTGTGGATCACTTTCCTCTGTCTAGTAACTGCCGAGGCTGAGAAGGAAGGGCTGGGTCATCGGGCTGGTGGTGTTACTTTTGAAGGAATGGCCAAACTGTTTTTGGCAGTAATTGTGTAACTTGCATTCTTCTTGAGCAGCATGTGAGGGTACAGGCTCCTTCCAGCCCTCATCGCCTCTCTCGGTTGTCTATTTCAGTGTGTATATTGCTGGCTTTCCAGAATACACCCAGTCACTGATAGATCATCTCGTCAGCATGAAAGTCAACCACTGGGATAGGTAAGTTGGGTCTTGTGTTTCCCTAAGAATTCCTCACCCCCAGCATCTTTGTGAGCTTACGTATGAGCCACACTGGCATCTGGGACACAGAATATCCGTGTTAGGAACAGAGGTCTGTATGTGTATCCCGGTGGGATAAACTACTTTGCCTTTCTTTCTCATATCAGCTTGTCGGCCAACAAGGCTCTTAAAACCGAGAGTGAAAACATGTAGCCCGTGAATTGGACTAAATCCTTACACTATTGAAATCTCCAACTGTTACTTATATTTTTGTTTCTTGTTTCATTCATCTCAGTTTTCCCATTCTGTGTTTTGGATGGGAGTTAGGTACATGTTAGGTGCATGTCTGTCTGACATTTTTATGCCTTTGTATTTGTCCTTTATCCTTATAAAATATCCTTTGTCTCACGTTGAGTTGCTTGTCCTAAAGTATAATGCATTGAACCTATGTACACAGTCTGGCAGACTTTTCCTTTAAAGGGTCAAATAGTAATGCCTTAGGTCTCTTTAATATATTTTGTTTTTTCTTTATAGAACCATTAAAAACAGGAAAGCCATGGGGGGGAGGGGAGAGGCTGGGAAGGGATGTGAAGGGTAAACAAAAGGAGGAGGCTGCAATGCTTGGTAAGAAATGTACGCATTATCCTGCCCATGTAATTGTAACCCCTCTGTACAGTATCTTCACAAATAAAATAAAAAAAAACAAAAAAACAAACAAAAACAGGAAAGCCACTCTTAACTTTAGGCCTTAGATCCACATGGTAGTGGCTGAGTGATCCACATTTTGGTGGCTCATTCACTGGCTGACACAGCATTGGGTAGCTGCTGCCTTGTGGCCGTGGTGGTGAACGTGGGCTTGCGAATCCCTCCTTGCTAACAGTGCTCCACTTCTCTCAGAGCCATTCGAGAGCTTTCAGCCAAGGCGCTGCACAACCTGGTCCCGCGAGCGCCCGAGTACAGTGCTGCTCATGGTAGGTGTGGGTCCCACCTCCTGCAGGGCCTTCTTCACACGTGTGCACACACGTGTGCACACAGCAGGAGGACTCGGTGCTCTCCTGATTGGTGGCTGGAGACGTTCTGTGTCTCTTGCTAAAGCTGTGGGACAGAACCTGACGATGGTGGCGGGATGTGCACACTGGGAGCCGTGGGCTGTGCGGGGCAGGCGTCACACATAGCAAGGAGTCTGTGGGTCGTCTAGATTTAGAAACCATCATGATTAAAGGGCAGTTCAGGCTGCTATAGTAGATGATGGTTTGTCAGTGTCTGTAGCCTGGGCATGTGGTCAGGATTTGGAATCTTGCCTTTCTTTTCTGAATGCCAAAGACAGCGGCTCTTTGGGCTGAGCAGAAATGAGTGGAAAATTGGAGCACAAACTCCTGTTGTCCATGTGTGTCTTGTGCTCTGCCTGCCGCCATCAGCATCCCCAGCAGGCCATGGTGCCGGCGGGCAGATCTGCAAGCTGGGCTGTCCGCCCCCTCAGTCTGTCAGTGTGTGTCTGGGAGCTCCGGTGCCTGTGCTGGTCCGAACATGGTGTCATGCCGTGTCCTGTCTCATGGCAGTGGCTCAGAGGCGGCATCCAGGATTGCATGCAGGCTCTCCAGTGTGAACCTGCCAACCTGCTAGCTGCCTTTCTTTTGCAGTGTTTCCAGCCCTGCTGTTGATGACATCGACTTCAGATCTGCACACACGGCATGGGGCCATTCTGGCCTGTGCAGAGGTTGTCTATGCCCTGTATAAGCTGGCAGCTCAGAGAGACAGGTGGGAAATGCCACTCCACTCATGGTCTGTCTGGAAAGCCATGTCATTGTGATTTGGGGTTTGGGAACATTTTGTTCTGACTTGCTTAGTTTTAGTCGTCACTGTCTTTAGGTTCCTGTATTTTGCTTTAAGGTTTTTCAGGATCTCAAAGTCCACCAGGTCTGAAGGTGACCCTGTTGGCTTCATTCATAGTATCACAGCCAGTCAGGAAGTGCAGGGTCTGCAGAGGCCATGCCGGCACATGTGCCAAGAGCTGCTTGGTTTTCTTCTCTTTGACTCCTCCATGTCTGTGACCTGCTCTTGGACTCCAGCTTGAGAAGACCTGTGGTTGGAGTCACTTCTGTTGCCATAAGTGGCTTGGGCAGGGTAGCAGTAGACGGGCTGTGGTCCCTCTTTCTACCCACTGGCCCTGAAGCAGGGGTGGCGCCCATGCCGTACCTGCTGAGGGCCTTGCTCTCCTTGGTTGTGGGAAAGGGACATGGGCAAAATACAGAGTCGTTTCCTAGCTGGGCCATACGGGGTCTGACTTTGTCCAGCAGTGTACCACAATGGTGTGTGTGTAGTGCTGTCTACCAGAGTGCACACCTGAGGCCCATCTGCTCTCTGCCTGTCACGTAACAGTGCTCAGTGTGAACTCACTCTTCACTAGTAGGCTGGGCTTGCTCGTAGCAGTGAATCACTGGTGAATGAGGCGAGGGAGACCTGCCAAGTCCACACTCCTGGATGCCAGAGCCTCTCTGAGCGTGGCGGCAGCGCTGGGGGGCCTGTCCCCACCTTGCCGGGCACTTCCCTCCTGGGGTCCTGGGGACAGCACTGCCTCTGCCTTCAGCACACTGGCCAGGGGACAGCTTCTCGGGGGGCCTGACGGCCGCTGGCTGTGGCCCGACACAGCTGTATCTAAAGTCAGAAATGGGGACCAAGAGACGGCCTGAAGGGGAGGCGGTTCTGGTTTGTGCCGGGCGCAGGCGTGGTGCTTGTGGCCTCAGCTCTGTGTTTGTCCTCTGCAGGCCTGTCACCGACTACCTCGGCGAGCAGGTGGTGCAAGGCCTCAAGCAGATCCACCAGCAGGTTTGTGTGGCGCACACTCTTTGCATGCAAAGCATTACGCACCTGGCTGTCTGCCCTGGAGGGTGTGACTTACTGGGGTCAGTCCTAGGCCCTAGGACTCACTGAGGCGGGCTACAGATTTCCTGGCGGCAGAGTTGTTCTGTGGTCTTCGCTGCACAGTGTGCTCTGGGACCCACTGGGTGCCTGACAGCGCAGGGCCCTGTGGTGGAGGGAATGCCGCCGGCCCGGGGTGCTCTAGACAGAAGAGTGCTCTTTGGTTTTCACCTGCTCGTCCCTGGCTGTGATCTTGAGTCTCTTGAGGTTAAACCCCAAATTTTGTGCACATATTTCTCTGGAGAAAAGATGTGGGCATTCTGGGATTTTGAGATTCTTAAAGCTTCTGGGTGACTCAAAAGATAAAATATGAAGAAAATGATCCTTTCAAGATCATCTGAAGAATTAAGTGGTTTTTATTGTCTTTTCTGTTCCTTCAGATTTGCCCTTTATATGGCGGCGGGCTGGTCCTTACTGTATTCCTGCCACTAACTTTATGACTTTAGCAATACCATTTCTTTAGCTTGCCTATACATCTCTTTTTAAAGTAGAACCTAACATTCTTGCTAGCCCTGGAGGTAGCCCAGTAAGGCAGTTGAGCAGAGCACATTCCTCTGAGTCAGGGTTTCCTAGCTGTAAAATAAAGATAATAAAAGACCATGTCAGTTTTTGTAAGAACTAAAAAGGCACTTTAAAGAGTTTAGTGGCGGCTCACACCTGTAATCCTAAATACTCAGGAGGCAAAGCCAGTCTGGGCAGGAAAGTCATGCATCTCTTACCTTCAGTTACCCGTCAGAAAACTGTAAGTGGCGCTGCTGCTGTGGCTCAAAGTGGTAGAGTACTAGCCTTGAGGGAAAAAAGAGCTCAGGAGCCAAGCACGGTGTCTCACACCTGTAATCCTAGCTTCTCAGGAGGCTGAGATGTGAGGATTGCTATTCAAAAGCAGCCCAGGAGGGGCAAAGTCTATGAGACTCTTATCTCAAATTAACCACCAGAAAACTGGAAGTGGTTCTGTGGCTCAAGTGGTAGAACGCTAGCCTTGGGCTGAAGAGCAGAGGGACGGCGCCCAGGCCCAGAGTTCAAGTCTCACCACTGACCCCCCCCCCCAAAAGAAAACAAAGCAAAATGTTTAGTGACAGCAAATAAACATCTCGCAAGTTTTAGCTGAGGATGATGCCTTGAAGTGCTTTTAAATTCCCTCAAAGGCAAGAATACCCATGTCCTTTTGGCATGGTGAGTTTTCTTCAAGGGAGGCCAGGGTCGTCCCTGGGGTCCAGGGTGAGGTTTAGTCCTGTTCTCCCTCGGGGTGGCCACTCTTCTCCGACATTTCCCTTCAAGATAACCCACCTATAAAGCTTAGCCGCGGCCTGGCCGAGCTGAGGTGAGACTGGCTGTCTCCATTCTGCGCTATTCTTTCACTGGTTTTTGTCAATATTGTACATAGACTGCATAGACTGTCTTACTTAAAAACCCACATTTCTGAAATGACTAATTTTCAATCGTTTATTTTTTTTAGCTTTATGATCGTCATCTCTACAGGTAAGCCGTGCTACAGAGCTGATGCCGACTCTCACTGAGAACCTGTGCTGAGCCCGCACCGCACTTACAAGCAGCTCAGCGTTGCTCTGTCCTCATTCCTAGGCTCTGGGTTTACTTCGCTTGAGGAGGTGCAGCTGTCCCTTGACTCAGTGTTCAAGGACATGAGGGTCTCACGCCCTCAGACACCTTTATGGAGATTCACACGACAGGTTCTGGTGCCCCATGTTTTGGGTGCTGTGTTTCTGTGGTGGTGGACGGTTGTATACCTCCAAGGGGAAGAGGAGTTGGTGCTGAAGCTCTCTCCACCCCGCCTCCAGGGCGCTCAGCCTCTGCAGTTTGCCTGTCATAGGGTTCTGCGGAATCTGATTGTAGGAAATTATTTATGTCTGATTCGCTCACGGAGTGCTTCTGAGGCTTACCATGTGGTGTGTTACTGTTTTGTTGCTTTTCATCGCTGTGTAGCACCAGTGGTGTGTGAGTCCTGCGGTGCTTGGTCTTGTGTGAGCTCAGGCCACGGCCGTGTGGAATGACATTCCCATTTGTCTTTGAGCACACGAGTGTCTTCTGGCACGGGGGCTCCTCTCGAGGGACTCCTGCCCCGTGTCCAGACCAGCACTTGTCACACATGGGATTCGGCCACATTTCTCTACTCTGACTCTGTTTCATTTTCTTTGCAGCATTTTGCTGCAGGTGTAAGCAATATGCTTCTCTCAAAGGGTGGAATCCCGCGGCCCCTTCCCCCGCCCCTTCCTGCCTTTGGCTCGCTGTGCGTTTTAGACCCTGGAGAGTACAGGTGGTACACGGGACCCCTGAGCCGTGTGGCTGCTCGGAACTCCCAGGGCCCAGCTACCCAGGCGTGGTCTGAGGCCTGGGGGACCGGCGGCTCTGTCCGTTGTCACACATCCTGTGGTCTTGTGTGTTTCTGTCCAGCGAGGTCATTTTAAATCTTTCCATTACTGCTCATGTCAGAGCTGGCTCCTGAACTCCACCTAGGTTTGAGTAAAAGTCCTGCCTTTTCAGTGGAATGATGAATTGACTTCCAAAAATTTTGTTTGTATTTAATTTTTGTAGCATTTGCCTAGACTAGCAGAAGAGACTTTGTTATCTTAAATAGCGGTTGGGAGAGTGACCCGCTTTTGTGGGATGTGCTGTGGAGCCTCTGAGTGGCGGGCAGAGGGGTCTCAGTGGTTTATTGGAGATAAGAGTCTCATGGACTTTCCTGCTCGGGCTGGCTTTCAGATCAGCCTCCAGAGTAGCTAGGATGACAGGCGCGAGCCACTGGCCCTGGGTCTGAATTTTTCTTGACATTTCCCTGATGTTGTTTTACTACTTTTTCTATTTGTGCTGCTTGTTTTCCTTCACCTTTTCAGACTTGGGGAGGACGTGGCAGCTGTCCTAATGACCTCATATATTAACATTTCTGGGCTGACATAATTGATTCTTTTAGTGTGGTCATATTTTCTTGGTTCTTCATTGGATTCCTACCTTCTGAAATTCACATTTTGTGGATTGTTGTATTCCTTTTGTTTCGTTTTTGTGCCAATCCAGAGGCTTGAACTATGGGCCTGGGCACTGTCCCTGAGCTTTTGCTCAAGCCTAGCACTCTTATCATTTAAGCCACAGCGCCACTTCTGTTTTTTTCTGCTTATGTGGTGCTGAGGAATGGAACTCAGGGCTTCATGCATGCTAGGCAAGTGCTCTACCACTGAGCCTCCTTCCCAGCCCCTGTTATGGTCCAGACAGAATATGTTTTCTTCTCTGTCTTGTGCATGTTTGGGTCCTTCAGGCGTGCTTTGAAGTCTTTCTGTGTGGTGTGGAGCAGTTAGCCAGGGTCCTGGCAGGGTGTCATGCACAATCCGGCTCTCCCCTCTGATGGATGAGGGGCCATTCCCGGCCCACTGCAGGCTCCGGAAGGGCCTGCTTTCACCTTCCAAGTGTTTTCTCTCAGGCCGGTCTTCCGTCCAGTGTCAGCTTAGAGTCAGCCACAGGCTGCTCCTGCTCCCTACCCCACTGCAGTCTCCACCTGCTTTGGCCATGCCCGTGTCCATTTCCAGCTCCTTGCCATGACCGGATGGCTAGGCACCCGGGGACTTGCCTGACACTCCATGCCGCCCTCCCCACCCCTACGGTCCTCTAGGTGCTCCAGGGTTTCAGTAGTACTCTCTGTCTCCCAGGGTCTACTCCGGAACTTTCATGTGTTTCGTCCAGTTTTTTTGTTTGTTTTAGCTGTTTATGTCGTCCCTGCTCCTCTGTCTGGACCAGAAGCCACAGCCTCCTCAGTCAGAGTTACGTTCCTTGCTAGGGAGCTTCTTGGCACCCGGGCACTAGCGCAGGGGCGATTCCCGTCGGGTTGCTCTGGCATCTCTGTGAAGTGAGGTTAAACAGCATGTGAAGTGCATTCTGCTCATCCAGGGGTGTTTTCAGTGCTGTGAGGAACAAGTGTCCTAGGAAGCTGCAAGACCACCAGAGAGTGCTCTTGTCGTGGCTTCTCATTCCTTCCCAGAGAGCGGAGTAAAATGCTTTTGGTGGCAAGTTTACCTCATTAATATTTTACTGTACTTGGGCAGCTGAAGTTTTATCTGTTGCTTGGTGGGATGTTTAATGCTTTATGTAGTAGGAGATTTTTAACTCTGAATGTTCTCATTGGCTTTTTAGGGGCCTGGGAGGAGAGCTCATGAGACAAGCAGGTAGGTGTGCAGACGGAAGCCGCGGAGCCTTTGCTCAGGCCATGGGACAACGTCCTGAGTCACACCCGTCTGTCCTTCGTCCCTGGCCCTTCTGTAGCCGTGGGTGGTGGTTCCTTTCGGTGGAGCTCACGCTCTGAGAGACAGATGACCAGCGCTGCATCAGCTTCTCTGTGTCTGATGCTCCAGTCCTCAGATTCGGCGCCCTGGTCAGTTTCAGAAGCCCTGGGGCTGGCTGGCCGTGGGGTGAACACATACAACCAAAGGAGCTAAGGGAGCATCTTCCTTTCTGAATTAGAATTTAAATTAAGCGTAACGTTGTAGGTCAGTGTCTGCAGGGAGCACACGAGATGCCGTTGTGTGAATACCTTAGGCTTCTTGTAGCCTGTTCAGCCCCTGTCTGGTGCGTGAGGCCTGCCACTGTGGTCTCTGAGGTGGGAAGTAAGGACATGCTTCTGAACGGGAGAGGGGCGATGAGCATCTAGCACATCTACAGGAAGAAAAGGGGTCCACTAAAGGCAACATGCTTTCTCCTTATGTAACATCATGAGGCGGGGCACAGGTCAAAATGCAACAAATTAAAGACCAAAGCCCAGTATTCACATTTATTTCTCTTCCATTTTACCATGTGCTTAGGAAAATAAAAATTACGATAACGTCAGGAGAACTGCTATTGTGTATTTGCATTAATGTAGCACACAAGAAGGGCACCGTGTGTGTAGAAGTGTGGAGACAAGGGGACCAGGAGGTCACTGAGCTTCAGATGTGAGGACAGGGCACGGAGTGATCACTCTGGGGCAGGTGTGAGGACAGGGCACGGAGTGATCACTCTGGGGCAGGTGTGAGGACAGGGCACGGAGTGATCACTCTGGGGCAGGTGTGAGGTCAGTAGACTGATCACTCTGGGGCAGGTGTGAGGTCAGTAGACTGATCACTCTGGGGCAGGTGTGAGGACAGTGGACTGATCACTCTGGGGCAGGTGTGAGGACAGTAGACTGATCACTCT